ATTAGACGTTTATTAGACGATGGTACGAATCGGACGAAGTTATATGTGGGAGATATATCCAAATCTGTACCGATCTCGATAAAATTTAGCAAAGGTATTTCTTAGCTGCATTTGATATATTTCCCCAAATATTATTGTTACAGAGTGCATATTACGGCTGCGGAGGACAAAAATAACAAATCGGATTAACAATATATATGGGAGCCATAGCTATATCTGAACCGAATTCGATCAAATTTGGCATACTTATTTTCAGGCCTAATTTGGTTGTATGTGCAAAATTCCATATTATTCGTGCTGATATTACACGTTTGGTGCACAATAAAAGCAAATCGGACGAAGATATATATGGGAGCTATATCTAAATTTTTACCGATTATCTTCAATTTCAATAGGGTTCGTCCTTGGGCCAAACAAAATGATTTGTGCAAAATTTCATCTGGATCGGGTAATAAATGCGAACTGTACTTTGTTCACAAAAATACATGGACAGACGGACGGACGGACATGCATAAATCGACTCAGAATGTGATTCTATGCAGATCATCAAAAGGAACTATGGGTCTATCACAAAGACATAATATCCTGACCACCTTGTGGTGTAGGGTTTAAATATTCTAACTATAAAATACCTGTTGAAGGTTTCGATGTCTTGTATCTCACTGGTCAATATATTACGTTTTATATTCTATTGCGTTTTGGTGCCTAGTCGCTTTAGAAAGTCGCATTATTTATGGGGAATTTTGACATTTTTACCTATGTACTTTCCAACTTTTTTGCTCTCTGGAAGGCTCAAGCTCACTTGTTGTGGTGTATCATACTAATCGTTCCTCTAATTATAGAAGTTGTTTATAGGTTTTTTTGAACAAAAAAATGTATTTAAAATTGAATTAAATTTTAAATTATTTTTTTACGCTTTTTCTATTTCAGAATGTAAACAAATAAATGAATTATGTCAAATATAATTGAACGCCCTTTTGATGTTGAAAAAATAAAATAAATAAATAAAATCTAACCTTTGCTTGACCACAATCAATAAGTGGCTATAATTGAATTACGTCAGTTAACAGTTCAATTTATATGCGAACATTAAACTTATGTAGTTTTATGATTGCTATTTTTAATGCTTTAGGAATCTATCTTTAGTAATAATTTTGAATGCTTGTAGTAATCATCAAAGATGCATTACAAAACGATCGGTAGATTTGGTGCTTATGTTCCGTATGTCCTCCACCATTTGGAAGAAACTTGAACATTTTCAAGAAATTATAAACAAGTAAAAAAACATTATATTCGGTCGGGCCAAACTTTAATACCCTTCACCTTAGGGTAAAGGAAACATTAGAAGAAATGTGGCACAAAACCATTAAAATGCCGAATATCGGGAGGTACCGTTATATGGGGGCTATACGAAATCGTGGACCTAAACATGCAATGTTTCGTCAAAGGAGCTAGAATCGATTATGACCTACAAATACCAATTTTCAGACAAATCCGTGAAAAAATGTGTCAAAAATCATCAAAATACCGAATATTGGGAGGTACCGTTATATGAGGACTATACCAAAACGTGGACCTATACATACAATGTTTGGCCACACGAACTGGGAACCATTATGACCTACAACTACCAATTTTCAGAGAATTCGTGAAAAAATGTGTCAAAAAATCATCAAAATACCGAATATCGGGAGGTACCGTTATATGGGAACTATACCAAAACATGGACCTATACATACGATGTTTCGCCAGACGAACTAGGATCCATTATGACCCAAAAATACCAATTTTTAGACAAATCAGTGAAAAAATGTTGCAAAAACCATCAAAATACCGAATATCGGGATGTACCGTTAAATGGGGGGCTATACCAAATCCTGGACTCATACATGCAATGTTTCGCCACCGGAGCTGGAACCCATTATGACCAACAAATACCAATTTTTAGACAAATCCGTGTAGCAAAAGCTAGTGTAGCTATACATGCAATGTTTTGCCACACGCACAGGGACCCGTTATGACCTACAAATACCAATTTTCAGACAAATCCCTGAAAAAATGTAGCATAAATCATCAAAATACCGAATATCGGGAGGTACCGTTATATGGGAACTATACCAGAACGTGGACCGATATATCCCATTTTCAATACCAACCATCCTAGACACAATACAAATTGCTCTGCTAAATTTTGGCGCTCTACGTCAAATAATGTGGGCTGTATCGGACAACAACAGACCAACGAACAGACAGACGGACATCGTTAAATCGACGTAGAATTTTATGCTGACTATGAATATATATACTTTATGGGGTCTACGACGAATATTTAAGGATGTTACAAACGGAATGGCAAAGTTAATATACCCTCCTTTCCAAGGTGGAGGGTATAAAAATACCGTTACACCTTTATACGGATGTTATACGAAGAATTAAACCTGCAGGCTGAAGTACCCATTTCAAACTTCGAATACGAAATTTGAAACAATTCGAGTGAATTAAGTCGCTAAAATCATCAAAATACCGAGAATCGAGAGGTACAGTTATATGGGGGCTATAAGAAGACGCGGGTCTGCATACGAAATTTTTGGGCATAGGCTGTAGTAGACATTACAAACTTTCGAGTGAATAATGAGCTAAAATCATCAAATCATCATGGCCCATTTTCAATACCAAAAGTCCTGCAGACATAATATACATTTGAGTAAAATGATGATTTAAGCGGCATTATCCACGGGAAATGTTTCAAATTTGGAATTTGAAGTTCGTAATGGATATTACAGCCTATGACAGAAAATTGTTTGGGCAGGTTCGCGTACCTCCCGATATTCGGTATTTTGATGATTTCAGCGACATTATTCACCGAAATTGTTTGAAATTCGTAACGGACACTACAGCCTATCACAAAAAAAAAATTACTTATCCAGCACCACGTCTTCGTATAGCCCCCATATAAAGGTTTTCATTTAAGTGGTATTTTTCGACGGATATTTTATAATTTTTAAAGTTCCTTTCAAATGGTAGAGGGTATAAAAAGTTGTAATACGTTCGATCATACTAGTCCCAAGCTATACGCATACAGGGTGAGATGAAAAACTGCAACCAACTTCAGACTGCTGTCATTTCTAAGCCACTCGTCCGACAGCTGTTAAAATTATTCCAGTGACAGCTCATTATATTATTTACAAGCGTACAAAAGCATTATGGTGAGAATTTTCCAAAAAAAAAAAGTTATTCGTGATGGAATTCAAGCGTGATTGTGTGATTTCTTTATATTTCGCTAGAAAACCACAAGTGGCTATCGTTAGAGCACTCCAGCATTTAAATGTGAATAAATCTTTTGTGTCTCGTACCATCGACGACGTCAAGGAAGTGGACGGAACAAAATAGCAACATCATCAGAAATAGTTCGAAAAGTAAAGAAGCGACTTGATCGAAAACCGCGTCGCAATGGCCGAAAAATGGCTCGTGAGCTGAACATATCGCAATATTCCTTTCGGATAATATTGAAAAATGAGCTCGAGGTAAAGCCATTGAAATTTCAAAAAATGCAAGAACTTACACCGCAACAGAAAGAAAATAGACTCAAAAGAGCCAAAGAGTTGCTTCGCTTGGCCAAAAGTGGTGAACTGCCGAATTTGGTTTTCTCCGATGGGAAAACATTCGTTATCCAGCAGTTTGTAAACAAACAAAATGATCGTGTTTACTTGCCAAAGAGGTCAGCTGAAAATGTGCACCTTCGGTTGGTGATGGTGTGGGCAGCCATAACAACCGATGGTCGCTCTCAGCACGTATTAAACGACCGTGGCATCAGAATAAATGCCGAATATAATCGCAAAAATATTCTGGAGGGTGTATTGAAGCCTTGGGCACGCAAATATTTTGGTCGCAGTCCTTGGGCATTCCAAAAGGACTCAGCACCATTGCACTCAGCACGCGTCACCCAAGAATGGTTACAAAATGAGGTTCCTCGCTTCATTTCCAGCGCACAATGGCTACCAAAATTTCCGGATATCAATCCGTTGGACTATTCTGTCTGGAGAATTTTGGAAAGCAAGGTTGGTACTAAAAATACCTCAAGCAAGCGCTTCGCCCGGAATGGGCCAAAATACCGAGGAATAACATTCGGGTAGCGTGTGACGGGTTCATTGGACGTTTGGAGGCCATAATTCGAGCCAAAGGTGACCGATTCGAACAAATCTAAACTTATTCTAAAATTTGATTCTATTTCCGAAATTTTTTGCTTTCATTCAATAAAATTTAAAAAAAAATGTAAAAATTTTGGCGTTTGACTTTGTTGCAGTTTTTTAATCTTACCCTGCTACGGATAGCTCTGCTAAACATTCATAGGGTATAATATGGTCAGTCCTGGCCGACTTTTGCCCTTTCCTTACTGGTCTATGATTACTCTAATGACACCCATCTTCCGTTAATTGTTGATCTATTCCGGTTATTTTTAAGTCCATTATGGTCTCGTAGAGGCAGCGTGACTTTGCATTATCGCCACGAATATAGGTTACTTTCAAAGACTGCTTCTAATTGGATCTTCCCTGTCACATTTCATGTTTATTGCACTAACCAATAAAAAAAAATTCTTTATTCGATTTTATTGAAATCTCTTTTCTGATCGCATACGGTATATTGAATTCGATTCCAACAACTTGTTTTGTGTCTTCAGTACGCATCGTTTTTAATTAAAAAATTAAAATAAAATTGCAGATTTGAGCTTTTTAGTGCATAAATCGTACCGGTTTGCTAACAGACTTCGTTCCATGAAATGTCAAATTTTGAAACTTGCAAAGGCTCACGCTCACCCCTTTATACACACACACACACAAATGCAATTACATGCATCCAGACTTTCCCCCAAACGACCGTTAACATTTTATTGGGAAGATAACCTGTTTCGTCAGAATGAATGTCAACAAAAAAAAAAAATAGTACTTCCCGACAGCTAAACAAAAGGCTTTATAAATTTTTTCCTCTGCCAAAATGAGTTTAGATGCTCGAGCATTTCCTCAGGGTGCGGTTGTTTAAATTACGGAATTGATTTGAAATTCAAATCGTTGCGAAATCAAATAAAGACTTGCAGTGAATACAGGAAGCAGAAAGTGACAACGTATTGAGTGAAAATAAAAAGGACTAAATAATATAAAATAATTGTACGTAAATATATATTTATTTAATTGTGAGTGTTATTAATACTTTGAAGAGCAACAAAAACAATAGAAAGAGACAATACCTTTTGTGAAAATATTCTCATTTTAAAGAACTAAAAAGCAAGGACTTATTTGCGGAAATTGGAAGATGTGTTACTCAATTTTTATTGAAATGAAATTACAGAAAATTACACAAGTTCAAACATGAAAAGCTGGATATGAAGGATTTCTAAAATTCCTGAATGGTATTTTCAAAAATACTATTTCTTTTGCCATTGACATCGGAGTTTGGATTAATTTTTAACTTGTTTAATAAGGATGGAAAAATAAAAACCCATTTCTTTCTTTGGTGGACAGAGATTAAAATACATTTAAGATCCTAATTTATTATTGAAATAATTTATTTCAAAATATTTAGAGTTGGTCTGGGCCTTAATCTCGTTCTATGAAAATGTCAAAAAAAAAAAATATAGAGGAAATATTTTTCATTCCATACTTTCATAAAACCAGAACCTAGCCCCTGATCATGGTCTTCTTGGTGAACATTTGTAACAACTCTACTCATTGTTTATTTTACAAAAAAAAAACAGTTGTTTCTCTTGTTTTTGTAACAATAACAAAAGACATTTTAACAAATTTTCGATCGAAAAAATTTACAGAGTAGGTCAATTGGTTTCAGTGGTAAATAAAATTTACCATTCCCATTCTGCAACTTTTTAAATACTCTATTTATTTTACAAAAAAAAAAAAACATTCATTTTATTTTTTTTATTTTTTTTTTTTTTTTTTTGTAATAACAAAAGAAAACAGCATCCACCATTCGGAAGGAACTTGAAAATGTTCAAAAAAAAAAAAAAAATCCGTCGAAAAATACCATTCATATGAAAACCTTTATATGAAGGCTATACGAAGACGTGGTGCTGGATAAATAAACATTTGTGATAGGTTGTAGTAACGTTTCCGAACTTCAAATACGAAATTTGACGCAATTCCGGTGAATAATGTCGCGGAAATCCTGGAAATACCGAATATCTCGCAGGATATGGGTCCTATATTAAAACGTAGGCCTCCATAGCATTTCTCTTTCAGGGGGTAAAGTATCCGCAGAGAACCCCTTTTGTAGAATTTCTGACAGAACCATTGAAAAATGTCGCTAAAAGCATCAAAATACCGAAAATGTACCGTTATATGAGGATGTACCGTTATATGAGGGATATACGAAGGCGTGGACCAGCACGAACAATTTTCTGTCATAGGCTGTAGTGCCCATTACGAACTTCAAATACGAAATTTGACGCAATTCCGGAAATATCGAATATCTCGGTGTAACGTTATATGGGTGCTATACTAAAACGTCTACCTATATAAGCAATTCTCTTCCAGGGGGTAAAGTACTCAGAGTGAATTCCTTGTGTAGAATTTCACACAGAACCATTGAAAAATGTCGCTAAAAGCATCAAAATACCGAATATAGGGGGTACAGGTATATGGGGATATACCATATCGTGTACATGTATAGACAATTCTCTTTCAGGGGTTAGGTATTCAGAAGGAACTCCTTGTGTGGATTTTAAGTCGGGAGGTACAGTTATATGGGGATATTCGATATCGTAGACCTATATAGACAACTCTTTTTCAGGGGGTCAAGTAGTCACGAGGAACTCCTTGTGTAGAATTGCAGGCAATTCCATTGAAAAATATGTTTAAAATCATCAAAATAGCGAATATGGAGATATCGTTATATTGGGGCTATACGATATTGTGGACCGATATAGCCCATCTTCGAACTTGACCTGCCTGCATACAAAAGACAGATCTGTGCAAAATTTTAGCTTCCTATCTTAATTCGTTTTGACTGTAGCCTGATTACAACAAACGGAAGGACAGGGCTACATCGTCTTAGAATTTTACGCTGATCAAGAATATTTATACTTTTTTGGATCTACAATTATTATTTCGATGAGCTAAAAACAAAATGACGAACTTAATATACCCTCCATACTATGTATGTTGGAGGGTATAAAAATATATATATATCGGAGTCGAGTTCCACCAAATGGAAATGTAAGTCCCGGAATTTACACAATTTGGGCTGATATAAGCCATTATTTACACAATAAACCTGAAATCGGGTTAAGGATGCATATGGGAGCTATATCCAAATCTTAACCGATCTCGATAAAATTTGGCAAAGGATATCTGGTACCAAAAATCATTGTTGCCGAAGGCATATTACGAATGTGAGGGACTTAAAAACCAAATCGGATGAAACCTATATATGAGTGCTATATGAGTGCCAAATTTGATGTACTTGCTTCTAGACTGAATTCGGTTGGCTGTGCCAAAATTCAGGTAATTTGAACTTACATTCGCCATTTGGTGCACAATTAACCCGAAATAGGTTAAAGTTATAAATCTGAACCGATCTTGATGCAATTTGACAGAGGCATTTCTGGGCTGTATCTGATATCTGATAGAAAATATAATTGTTGTCGAATTCATATTAAATTCATATTGACTTAAATACCAAATCGGATAAAATATATATTTATGGGAGCTATAGCTATATCTGAACCGATTTCCAAATTTGATGTACTTGCTTCTGGATTGAATTCGGTTGGATGTGCCAAAATTCAGGTAATTTGAACTTACATTCGCCATTTGGTGCTCAATTAACCCGAAATCGGTTGAAAATATATGGGAGCTATATCTAAATCTGATCCGATTATCACCAATTTCAATAAGGTTCATCCTTGGGTCTAACAAATATCGCTTGTAAATTTTCATCTCAATTGGATAATAAATGCGACATGCATTTCGTTTACAAGAATACATGTATAGACGGACGGACGGACTGACTGACTGACTGACTGACTGACTGACTGTCATACATAAATCGACTCACCCTTACCACTATGTGATGATACCCTACATAAAGAGGAACTTACTATGTATTATAAATGTATAATAGCGGAGATTTTAGGCAAGCTCTTAGAAGAAGAAGGCCTCAGTAGCCCTGGAGCCATCTCCCCAACTGCACCGCAAACAATTCTTTTTACTATATCTAATACTATTACTGCTACTGTCATTATTATTAGTAGTATAAATTTTACTATTTTTATATAAATAAATAAAAACATACCTCTTTCATTACATTCCAGCAAAATGCCACCAAATTTAAGCACCGAACAGTCAACAACGGGCATTCTTGAACCGCAAGAAGCTGACACCATAGATGGAGGTATGGTCAAAGATATCGAGCAACTGAAACATGCCAAAGATCGGAAATTGCAAATTGTATGGCGCAACGTGATAATCTTTACCTATGCCGGCATTGCGGCACTATATGGACTCTATTTGCTGTGCACAGCAAAACCGAAATGGCAAAGCTATGTATTTAGTGAGTATGAAAAGCTATCGAAATTTTGTATAAATTCTTTTAATAATAACAAAAAACTGATATCAAAATTTAGTAATAGGTCTATATGGCACTTTTACACTTAAAAAATTAGTCTACAACAAGTAAACAAATTAAGCTCGTCCGGACCGAACTTTTAAAACCCTCCACCATTGGGTAAAGAAAACATTTTTATATAAAAAGTATCTGAATTCAAGCTTGTTACACTTTAAACTACAAATACCAGTAAGACCGTTTGGATAATACTCTTAAACTTAAAAAAAAACATAAAGTGGGTGAGGCCGTTGTATGGGGGCCATATCAAAACGGGAACCTCTATAGATAATTTTATACTTCAAAAACCAAATCTTCTTAAATACCAAATTTGAAACAATTTCGTGGGTAAATGTGACTAGGATTATCAAAATACCGAATATCGGTGTGTATCGTTATATGTGCGCTATAGGAAAACGTGGACCTAAATATTCAGTGTTCTGCCAATGGAGCTAGTACCCATTATGAACTACAAATACCAATTTTTAGATAAATTCGTGGAAAAATGTGTTAAAAGTTATCAAAATATTCAATTTTTGGGAGGCGCCGTTATTTGGGGGCTATACAAAAAACGTGGACCTATACATACAACATTTCGCCACCGGAGCTAAAGCCTATTATGACCTACCATTACCAATTCTTAAACATATCTGTGAAAAAATATGGCAAAAATTATCAAAATATTGAATATCGGGAGGTAACGTTGTATGGGGGCTATACCAAAACGTGGACCTATATATACCAAGTTTCACCGCCGGAGCTAGAACCCATTATGACCTACAAATATCAATTTTTTGACAAAGCCGTGAAAAAATGTGGATAAATCATCAAAATACTGAATATCGGGAGGTACCGTTGTATGAGGGCTATAAAAAACGTGGACCCATACATACAATTCTTCGCCACCGGAGCTAGAATCCATTATGACCTACAAATACCATTTTTTAAATAAATCTGTGGAAAAATATGCCAAAAATGATCAAAATATTGAATATCGGGTGGTACCGTTATATGGCGGCTTTACCAAAACGTAAATCGATGTATCACATTTTCAATACCAACCATTCTAGACACAATGCAAATTGTTGTGCCAAATTTTGACGCTCTACATTTAATAATGGGGGCTGTATCGTTAAATCGACTTAGAATTTTATGCTGATCATAAATATTTATACTTTATGGGCTCCACCACGAATATTTAGGAATGTTACAAACGGAATGACAAAGTTAATATACCCTCCTTTTCAAGGTGGAGGGTATAAAAAATTTAAATCTGGCCCCAAAAAGTTTTAATAGACATTTTTATACTTTGAAATATTGCATTTGAAACAGGTTTAAATTGCCGGTTCATTTAATTTCTTTAATTTGAAGATACAATATCCGCTGGGTTTTAAATGGAGCAACCTTTAATGCGATTTAAAAAAAAAATATGACAGCAATGATAATGAAATTCCATTTTAAAAAAATTTTAATTTATAGGAATTTTTTGATTTTTGAATAATTAGATTAAAATATTTTAGTAGTAATGGATTTCTGGAATGGTAACATTCTGCGCATTTCATTTTCTTGTGGTTATATATGAGAAGAAGATCCAAGACTTAATTGACGCGACATTTGGTATGCCAAGAAAAAATGTCAGCAATGCAATAATGCAATTTTAGAAAAAACAAGTTAAAAAGCAGTAAGTTCGGCCGGGCCGAACTTTTAATACCCTCCACCATTTGCAGCGAATTTGGAAATTTTTAAAAATAAAATCCTTAAAAAATTCTGTTAAAATTTTAAAAATACCGAATATAGCCGTTATATTGGGGTCTATACGACGTGGACATACATAGGCATTGTTTGTCATAAGCCATTACCATATTCAAATTATATATAAACAGTGAATAATGTAGCTAAAATCATCAAAATATCGTATATAAGGAGGTGCCGTTATATCGGAGCTGTGCGAAGACCTGGACCAGCATAGACAATTTTCTGTAACAGGCTGTAGCATCCATTACGAACTTCAAATACCACATCTCAAACAATTTCGGTGGGTATTGTACCTAAAATCGTCAAAATACCGAATGTAGGGAGGTACTGATATATGGGTCTATACGAAGACCTGGACCCGCACATACAATTTTCTGTCACAGACTGTAGTTCCCATAACGAACTTCAAATACCAATTTTGAAACAATTCCGGTGAATAATGTTGCTAAAATCATCAAAATACCGAATATCGGGAGGTACCGTGGACCTGTACAGAAAATTTTCTGTCTTGGGGTGTAGTATCCATTTTGAACTTCAAATACCAAATTTGAAACAATTCCCGTGAATAATGTCGCTAAAATCATCAAAATACCGAATATCGGGAGGTACCGTTATATGAGGGCTATACGAAGACGTGGACCTGCACAGACAATTTTCCGTCTTAGGGTGTAGTATCCATTTTGAACTTCAAATGCCAAATTTGAAACAATTCCCGTGAATAATGTCGCTAAAATCATCAAAATACCGAATATAGGGGGGGGGGGGGGGTACCGTTATATGGGAGCTATATGAAAACGTGGACCTACATGGCCCATTTACGAACTTAACCTGCCTACTGGAAAAATAAACATGTGTGCAAAATTTTAGCCATCTATCTCAATTCATTCGAAAGATAGCGTGATTACAACAGACAGACAGACGGACAGACAGACAGACTGACGGACGGACATCGCTAAATCGACTTAGAATTTTACGCTGGTCAAGAATACATACTTTGTCTGATATGAGTATTTCGAGGAGTTACAAACGGAATGACAAAGTTACTATACCCTCCATAGTATGGTGGAGGGTATAAAAAGTTATTACTTGTATTAAATTAATACAATTTTAATTTACAAAAATTAATACTCGCTTTTTTGTTTGGTTTTTAAGATTGCTAAGTTAATGGCTTTGAAATGACAAAGTTCTACGCATTTTATTTTCTTGTGGATAAACATGTTACGACGATTTAAGCCTGCTCGGGTCTAATTGACGCTATAATAATGCAAATCTAGAAAAATTTATACTTTTTTATGACAATTATATGCATTTAATTTAATACTTGTTTTTCGGTCGGTTAAATAATTGAATTAATTGATTTTTATGGTCATGGATTTGAAATGGCAAATTTCTGGGCATTTTATTTTCTTGTGGATAAACATGTGAAGAAGATTTAATTAGGCTCGGATTTAATTGGTGCAATGATAAAAAAAAAATTGATAATTTTTTTAAGAATTTAATATACACAAATTAATACTTGTTTTTTCGGTTAAATAATTGAATTAGAAGATTTTTTGGGCAGTAGATTTGAAATGGCACAATTCTGTGCATTTTAGTTTCTTGTGGATAGGCATGAGAGTAAGTTTAACACGCAATTGTTTAGAGAAATTAGATCGATTGGGGTACTGATTTATGTTTATGGAACTCAAAATAAAACCAACAAGGAAAAGTCCGAAAGTTGGGCGGGGCCGACTATTTGATACCCTACACCACTATGCATATTTAGTAAAGCTCCCGTACAAAATAATTTATTTGAAGTAGATAATACCACCTATCAATATTTGGCTTTTGATCAGTAAAAAGTTTGGTTTCAGAGGAAACTAATATATGGGAGGTATATCCAATTCTGAATCGATGTTCACTAAATTTGACGGAGACATTTTAATCTTTTATACCAAATAACATTTGCTATAGAGTGCATGATATCACTTCGAGAATGATTATATTAAAAAATACATATCGGAGCCGAGTTCCACAAAATGGAAATGTACGTCCCGAATTTCACTCCATTTAGGCTGATATTAGCCATTGTTTGAACAATAAACCTGAAGTCGGATTAAGGATATGTGTGAGAACCGATTTTTTCCGAATTCGATGTATTTGCTTCTAGACTGAATTCGGTCAGATATGAAAAAAATCGGGCCTTTTGACTGATATTGGCCATTTGGTGCACAATTAACCCGAAATCGGTTGAAGATATATAGGAGCTATATCTAAATGTGATTCGATTATCACCAATTTTAATAGGGTTCATCATATTTGGATAATAATTGCGATCTGCATTTGTTCACAAAAATACATAGACAGACGGACGGGCAGACTGACTGACATAAAGATCCTCAAAAGTAAATATGGTATGGCTTCCTTCTCCATGTTACAAACAAATGCACAAATACATAACACCCTTTCCACTATACAAACAATTATTAGATGCCCAAAGTGTTAGTCTTAAAAAAATGCAGGTTCCATCTCAAACTTATACAGAGAGGGAGAAAAAAGGCATGAAATCATACGTTCCGAAATTAAGGGCAGAAAGAATTGCGCGGCTAAATCCGAATGGCCTTTTTGGGTAGAATTTCCAGAGTATTTGATGAAATAACATCATTTTAAAATTGTACGGAGAGGAAGAGAAAAGTCAAAAAAAAAAAAATAAAAGTTTTCTGCAGCATATTTACAAACGATGCAACAATAGGTTTTGATTTGATAGACATACCAAAAGTGGCGACTGGCTATTTAAATATGCTGTGACGTTGCTGAATATATTCTCCAGTCTGTATCATATTTTCTCCATTTTACTATAAAGCAGCACAAAGGATTTCAGGACTTCAAGTGATTAAACTACAATTACTGCTCAATTCATTACCGTGTCAGATGGAAATTCTATGCAATTTATCCATTCTTTTACTTGTTAAGTTCATACATTTTAGGTTCACCTATAAAGACTGATGATTTAAATTATTAAGAAATTCCAAAAATATTTAAAAGTTTTTACCAAACCGTGTCCACTTTTTGCCAACAAATTTTGACATTTCTGATTGGGTGTAAGACTTATAATCCCGCCATTATCCTAAGGCCAAGTCAAGCTGTATTCTTCCTGTCTTCTTTTAATTGAACCAGCCGCCTAAACAAATTTTGACATTCCGTTTGATCTGATGTAACACCTTATTATCGCACCAAGGAAACACCATGGATATTTTTGTGCCAAAAAAAAATATTAAAAGATTGTATTATAAAATATTTTATTATAAACTATTAACATTACTTACCCTAACCTATATTTGTGTAATCCTTTTCCATTACAGCCTTGGCCACGATCTACATGGGTGGTTTTGGAATTACAGTTGGTGCCCATCGTTTGTGGGCACATCGTTCGTATAAGGCTAAACTACCAATGCGTATACTGCTGATGATCTTCAATACAATGTCATTCCAAAATCCCATATTTGTATGGGCTCGTGATCATCGTGTACATCATAAATTTTCCGAAACTGATGCCGATCCTCACAATGCTATGCGTGGCTTCTTTTTCTCACATATGGGTTGGTTGATGGTCAGAAAACATCCCGATGTACTAACAAAAGGAAAAACTGTTGATGTGTCGGATTTGAAAGCTGACCCTGTTGTTATGTTTCAATTGAAGTAAGGGATTATACAAAAGTTATTAATTTTCTAATAACAATTTTGCTTTCATTCATTTTTCAGATACTATGGCGTCTTAATGTACATTTTAACATTCATTTTCCCAACGGTGGTACCAATTTGGTGCTGGGGTGAATCCATGACCAATGCATGGCATGTTTGCACCGCTTTTCGCTGGTGGTTTATCTTGAATGGTACCTGGTGTATAAACAGTGTTTGCCATTTGTTTGGTAATAAGCCATATGACAAGTAGGTTAACTTATTATTTCTAGAAAAACATTTAAAGACATAATCTTATGCATTTTTTTCCGCTTAATTCTAGGAGCTACAATCCTGGTGAAAATCTTGGCATATCAGGCCTAACTATTGGCGAATGTTTCCACAACTATCATCATGTCTTCCCATGGGATTACAAGGCAGCCGAATTGGGCGGTTCTCGTCACAATCTCAGTGCAGCATTTATTGAGTTGTGTGCCAAGATTGGTTGGGCTTATGATATGAAAACCGTATCGCCCGATATTATTAAACGTCGAGTGCTGCGAACTGGTGATGGGACACATCCAGTATGGGGCTGGGGTGATAAGGATCAGACCAAAGAAGAAATTCAAAGTGCGGTTGTTATAAAAAATAATAAAAAAGTAAAGAAATAAGTGCAAAGATTATTATATAGATTATTATAAGGGATATTGTTTTAAATATTTTTATATAAATACGTATATAGGTAGATAGCATTGTTATTGTAAATAAACCATATTGTTAAATAAATACAAAATTTATAGAAGCTATAAATATTAACAGCTATTATTACTAAGAGGAAAATCAAAGGGAAGTAAACAAAACGATAAAAATCGTAGTTGGTCGTTGTGACTTTATGATACCCTACAGCCTGGGAGGTACGGCGATATAAAGTGGATATTGCATTTTGATGTAATGTACTACTTCATCGACTTTGGTGCACTGTATCAAATCTAACTAATTTAAATTAAATTTGTTGGTGTTTACTTCTTGTTCTAGGCTATATATTTTGGTTATTGACAGCAAATAAGGGCTTTAGGCCGACATCCGATAGAGAGCCGTTGTAAAATATCCCCAACAATAATTAATCATTCGAAACAGGTACACATGTATATGTGGCCTTATGTCAACCATCTATTCAATACTTCTTGCAATAGTTTTTAACATTTTTAAAATGGGTGTTTATAATTTGCTTCTATTTTCTATTGAAAGATTTAATACTCACCTTTAATGTCGATGTGCATTAAAATAACTTTTCACGCTATCTGATCTGTAAAGTACACACGTCCAAGAACACACGCCTCAAATTGCTTGAAACGCTTTAGACGAACTTGAAATTCCAGCAGATCTGCAAAACATTGGTACATTTATTAATAATAACAATTTGCTACAATTTTTTATTGAAATATTTAATACTCACATTTAATGTCGATGTGCATTTAAAATTACTTTACGCTCTCCGATCTGTAAAGTACACACGCCTCAAATTGCTTGATACGCTTTAGACGAACTTGACATTCCAGCAGATCTACAAAAAATAATTTAATATAGTTATTCCGAGTATGTTAATAACCCATTATAATATATACGCTATTACATTATACATACAAGTCGACCAAGTTCGAAACTTTACGAATTTGAATTTTTTTATTGTTTTTGAATTGAATTTGACATTTTAACATTGAATTTGACGCCATATGAAAGTTTTAACTGATCGAATGCTCAATGAATGGAATTGGAGGTCTAGCCATTAGCCAAATACAAATAGCTTCATTACTCACACTTAAGATGAGTAGAACTGCACCACAATAACCACAGTAACTTAACATAACAGCTTTCCAAATGATGAAAATTGATGTTTTTGATCCAAAACTTGATTTCACTCATTCCATTTTCTTGAATTTTTTCGTGAACAGCCATTGCAAAAGCGTTTTTCCAGTTAAAATAATTTAGAACACAACTTTTATGCTATCTACTTGCAAAATGACAATTTTCCCACCATTTTTTCGTTAACGGACGTAAAACGACAGTATTGCCAACCTCTTCTAACATTGATTACAGATTATCAGTCGTTTACCGGCAAATCGATATAATTATGTTATCGACAACATAAGGCAACGGCGTCAATATCTGTGGCTTCAATTTCTATTGCTTATTTTTTTAAATTCGAAATGAAAATCAAGGCAAATACTTAATTTCTTATTTTATATATTTAGCGTATTATATACTGTGTGTCGTCATCGTTCTTTCACCAGGGATTCATTTTAAAATTCACACACACACTTTCAGATACTGGAAGACAGGTGAAGAATAATACAAGCCTATGAACAGTTCACACAAAAATCCCAACTGACCTTTCGTACTGCTAGGAATCAACAGGTCGTGATGGAGTCCATTTAAAAGGTAGTTGTTATCATTCACAGGACTTTTTCGCGCTTGCGAGGAATTCTTACATTGAGAAGATAATTATTTTGTGCTAGAACCTGCAAGATTCGTCGATATCATCTTGGGGAAATCGGTTATCGTAGTAAAAACTCTTACATCCTTGCAGTACTGTAACAGACCAATATTCTTACAGTTCTGGAAAAGAGAAAATCTGAACTTACATGAGCTTAAAGATAAAGCTTAAGCTGGTCCTACCAGGTGATGTTATAGACATGTAGATATGGACAGAACCATTCTTCTTGTAAGTTCTACCATCAAAATCATCTCTTTTACAGAATGGATATCAAAATTATCAAAGAATCTAAGCAGCTGATGATTGAACCAGCACATTTTGAGCAAACCATTGGAAGTTCAAGAAAATGTAATCTACAAATAATGCTCTGTTCCAGAACGTCGAGAATCTACTTGTCTTGCAATTTTTTTATATCATAAGAAAATATTGGCTATCGTAGTAATTTTTTCTGCTTTCTTGCAGTTCTGGAACATATAAACATTTTAAAGTCCGTATAGTCATCAAACAATCAATAGGCATTGACCAATTCGATTTTCCGATTATCTGAGCATCTACAAGTAAATTAATCGTCTATCGTCAAAAGTCGACTTAGTGATCCCTATTTCGCTCAGAATAAACACGTGCAGACTACTAAACGCTAGCAAATTAATTTTGGTGATTTTAGAATTGAAAAAAAATAAACGTTAAACATGTCAATACGTGAAAAATTATTAATGAAAAAAATCAAGAAACGCGAGAAAATGAAGAAGGAATTGGCCCAGAAGAAAGGTGCCACTAAACCAGCAAAGCCAGTTCCAAAACAAGAAGAAGAAGGTAAGTAAATCATACTGCCGGGTTAATGATGGCTCAAATAGTAAGCATCGTTTTTTCTAGATGATGTCGATGGAGATTTCCAGGAAGTTCCACAAAAGAAAATTCCCCAAAAGGAGCAGAAACCAAATAAAAAGAAACAACAACAAATGCAAGTTGTAAATTCAGATTCGGATAGTGATGAGGATGAAGATGATGATGACGAGGAGGAAGAGGAAAATGGAGCCAGCAGTGATGGTGAGGAAGAAGAGGATGAAAATGAGGAGGGTAGGTTTTACTTGCGGTAGCTATTTAAAATGTGAATTGCATCGAATTTTTGGTTAAAAGTGCATTGTTAGAATTCTTGTCAAATGGTTTGGATAAAAACGTGTATTAAGGGGGAGGTAAATCGGATCGGTAGATAAAAATCCGGGAGTTTTTACTGGAATTGTGGGCAGAATTTTTATCGTTGTGATAAAAATGTAATTAGTCCATTTTGTTCGTGCGCTAGCTTTGCGATACAACGTTTGTAGTCTCTCGAATTGAATAGTCCCTTCTTGAGCAGCGGACAGTATCTTCAATTACTAAGAAATTATTCTCCCAAAAATTATAGGTTCCTTGGAAAACATTTAAAGACAATTAACAACATTACGTATTTTAAGGACCCAACTTAATCTGTCCAGTTTTGAGTTTACAATAATGCATTTTACCAAAACCTGTATTTGATGAGTCAAAGGCGAATTCGAAATAGATCCGAAGACAAGTTATGGTCTTCAATGGGTCTCTACATTCATGTGATTAACATTTTACTGATATCATCAAAATATTCCAATTTATTATTTTTTTGAAAATTTTATTAATAAGTATTCTTTAAATTTTCAGAATCTGACGATAGTGATGAAGACGATGATGATGATGAAGAGGAAGAAGTACCTGCCAAGAAAGCCAAAACGGAAGCGAGTAAAAAAGACAAAAAGGCAAAGAAAGCCAGTGTTCAAGACGAGCAAGGTTTTGAGGAACTTGATCCCACAGCTGCCGCTGAAGCCTTGTCTAAACGCGATAACTCCGATCGTTCCTTTGCTTCGCTAAAGGGCATTGTCTCCGAACCCACTTTGAAAGCTATTGAACAAATGGGCTTTAGCGAAATGACTGAGATACAGGCGAAATCATTACCACCCCTCCTGCAGGGACGGGATTTAGTGGGTGCTGCCCGCACTGGCTCTGGAAAAACTTTGGCCTTTTTAATACCAGCTGTTGAACTGATTTACAAATTACGTTTCATGCCACGTAATGGCACGGGTGTCATAATTATTTCTCCCACCAGAGAATTGTCGATGCAGACATTTGGCGTCCTCAAGGAGTTAATGACCTATCATCATCACACCTATGGCTTGGTAATGGGTGGTTCAAATCGTCAAGTGGAAAATGAAAAACTTAGTAAAGGTGTGAATATTCTTGTGGCCACACCAGGACGTTTGTTGGATCATTTACAAAACTCTCCCGACTTTTTGTACAAAAATCTACAATGTTTGGTTATCGATGAGGTTGATCGTATTTTGGAAATTGGTTTCGAGGAAGAATTGAAACAAATTGTTAACCTATTGCCAAGTAAGTTACAAAAGAAATCCTAAATTTGTATGAGATAGTAATTGTAATTATGTTTTTACAGAACGTCGTCAAACAATGTTGTTCTCGGCCACACAAACCGAAAAAATTGATGCCTTGTCCAAATTGGCTTTGAAAAAGGAACCAATTTATGTGGGTGTTGATGACAACAAGGAAACTGCCACAGTGAGTGGTTTAGAACAGGGCTATATTGTTTGTCCTTCGGAAAAACGTCTTTTAGTGCTGTTCACCTTCCTGAAAAAGAATCGCAAGAAGAAGGTCATGGTTTTCTTCTCCTCCTGTATGTCTGTCAAATATCATCATGAATTATTTAATTACATTGATTTGCCAGTAACCTCGATACATGTAAGTAAATTCTATGAAATTGCCAAGCAGATAAGTTTGAACATTTTTTCCTTCCATAGGGTAAACAAAAACAAACAAAACGCACCACCACTTTCTTTCAATTTTGCAATGCTGCCGAAGGTATATTGCTATGTACAGATGTTGCTGCTCGTGGCTTGGACATTCCTCAAGTTGATTGGATTGTGCAATTCGATCCTCCAGATGATCCAAAAGTATGAATTATATAAATAATTTTAATTATTTTGTGGACCTAGTTTATGTTTATTTTATGTCTTTAGGAATACATCCATCGTGTTGGCCGTACAGCCCGTGGTACTGGCAGCTCGGGTCATGCCTTGTTAATGTTACGTCCCGAAGAATTGGGTTTCTTGCGTTATTTGAAAGCAGCCAAGGTTCCATTGAATGAATTTGAATTCTCATGGAACAAAATTGCCGACATTCAATTACAGGTAAACTATTTTAAATTATAGATGTTAATGCTCACATTTAAATTGTTTAAAGGGAAACAAGGCAATATGCTAACAATTGAAACTAATATGTGTCCAGGTGAATTTAAGATATAGACTTAAAAACTGGCTCTAAAATTTTCTAAGATGTTTGTATAGCCCACACATACTGAAGTCGTCCATATTTATTGAAATTTTAATTTTTGAAAACAAATATCTGATTTTGTCTTAGAAATCCTAAACGGTTAAATTCTATAAATTGCAGACCAATTGTGAAAATAGCCTACATAGAATCAATCCTTCCTGTACCTCGCAGACATCAATCCGATATTAGGAATAATGATGCTCTGGTACCCTATGATGCTCTGACTTTACATTTGTATTGGCCTGTATGTACTACTCATTCTGATCTTTTATTGACATCTTACAAAGGCATTCTACTTGAACTTTTAATGGCGACGTCCAGATAGAATTGAAATGTTTTTCATTCCATTAAATTCAAAAGTTAACTAGTTTTTCTCGTAAGTTTTCTGAGTGTATGAGGTTATAGATGTGCAGAAGCTATTTAATTTAAAAAAATAATTAGTGACTTAGTTGAACTTTTCTCGTTCCTATGTCCCGGGTTCAGCAATTGAATTGATCTAGTCGCTATTCGTGACGTGTTTTTCCTATCTTCGCCACGGTGTATCTCTTAAGCCCGATCTTCTGTCATAGTATAGATGAACAGACATTGAGTACCGGCTTGCTCATGGGTCTATATGTTTTTATAGCAGTTTCCCGCCCTAATCCTAGTTTTCAGGGCTTTAAGTAATTTATTTTCCTTGCTCCTGGATCCATTATATTCTCGACATCAATAAGATTGATACACCCTGAAAAGCAGCACATTGTTTTGTATTGTATTTTCCATATAAATTTCCATTTCACTCTAAACAATTCCTTTATTTTCTTTATTGCAGCTTGAAAAACTCATCGCCAAAAACTACTTCCTCAATCAATCGGCCAAGGAGGCATTCAAATCATATGTTCGTGCCTATGATTCTCATCAGTTGAAAACAATTTTCGATGTCAACACCCTGGATCTGCAAGCTGTGGCCAAGAGTTTCGGTTTCCTTGTACCCCCTGTGGTCGATCTTAAAGTTGGTGCCGCCAAACGGGCTCGACCCGAAAAACGTGTCGGTGGTGGTGGTTTCGGCTACTACAAAAACCTCAACAAAGATGACAAGAAACAGCGTATCTTTAAACAAGTCAATCGTGACCAATTACAAAAGAAGGGTAAAAACTTTATGCGGTAATAAAAGATGCTGCTGATATAATTTAAGATGTTTCTAGTTTTATATTATTAAAAAAAAACATGTCGTTTTATTGTAAACATATACACGTTGATGTGTGTATATGTGCTAATAGGAACGGCATGCCGTTTTGTAATTGTCCTTCCTACACATACATACATACATATTTTTCTTTGTAAAGTTTTATTAGTGAAATATGAAAAACAAAACCAATTAAGAATAATGTAATAAAGATTTTATATCATTGTACGAAATAAGTGTTATTAAAACTAGGACCTATTGTGGAAGCCGTACATCTATATATATGTATATAAAAATCGAGTGATGACTGTTTCATCAAAGGCAAGGCGAAATGGTTGAAGCTAGAATCTTGAAATTTTTCTGTGTAGGTCAAGGTTGAACTATAGGGGTGAGCTAGAAGGGTACTTAATACTTTTTAAAAATTAAATACATTGTATTGTTTAAACCGAAGAAGCTATAATTCTGAATCGAATCTTCGTGTCGAATCTTAAGTGTAAAATGTACTAAAAATCTCTAAATTATGGTACCAAATGGTATTATGTGAACGGAGAAAGCTAAACTCTTGACCTTTGGTATAAGAATTAAGTTGGGGAAATAGAATTGGTATAAGAAAGTAGTTTTGAAAATGTGTACTGAATGGTACTAAATTTGGTACAATTTGGATTTGGGCGAACGTATGAAGCTGGATTTTTGAAATTTTAATATTAGGGTCCCTTGTTAATTTGTAGGGTTGGATTTGAAGATGGTTCTGGAAATATGTACTAAAGAAGTACTAAACGGTGCTAAATTTGGTATATGGTGATAGGTTTGGAAATCTATCGGAATTGAATCGGAATTATGATTTTAAAACGTTTAGATAAGAAGGCGAAAGAACAATAACTGTGAATATTGGTATATAGAACACGGTAAGGGTGTTGCGTTCAGATAAGGAAATCCGCACCATAACAAGTACCGAAAATACAATATGGTACAACATTTTTAATTATGCATTTTTTTACCCTCCACCATAGTTTGGAGGGAATACTTACTTTTGGTTCGTTCCAGAACGGCAAGATTTTAAAGTTTTTCATGTTCCTTCCGAATGGTGGAGGGTCTGATCGGACTCAGGTGTTTTTTTATATCCTCAGCCATATGGCTAGAGAGGGTATATATCATTTGATACGGTCCGTTTCAGGACATCTGGAGTCGATCTAGCGATGTCCGTCTGTCTGCCTGGTGCGCACGACTACTGATCCCAACTTGGTACATTGTAATATTTTTGTCAAACTTGGATCGAGCTCTAAGATGGGCAATATCGGTCCACTCCTTCTGGTACCTCCCCCACAAAAGGGGGATCGATCGATCTAGCGATGTCCGTCTGTCTGGCTGGTGCGCACGATAACTGATCCCAACTTGGTACATTGTAATATTTTTTTATACTTACATCGAGCTCGCAGATGGGCGATATCGGTCCACTCCACTGAAGGTCGAAATGTTCAACAAAAATATATTTTCTGCACAGAAAGAGAAACGGTAATCCGATATTGCTCCAACTTTGCAAATCCTAATATATGCATCAGTGCTAGGTCAGGTGCGAAGAAGGACAATATTGGTCCACTACATCAAGTACCTCCCCCACAAAGGGTCAAAATTGAGTGATGTTAGAGTCCGATTGTTTTAAAATTTCACACAATAATATTAATATTTGTAGTAACCAAAGGTCTGGTATTAAAATGGAATATATCGGTCCACTCCTTCTGGTACATCCCCTACAAAGGGTCAACATTTTGAATATTCCTGAAGTTCATAAAACGCGAAATTAACATCTGATTCCATTCTGACTTGGTACATCTTAATATTTCCAGCAACCCAAGATCTGTTATAAAGATGGTAGAGATCGGACCATTTCTTCTGGTACCTCCCCCATAAAGGGTCAAAGTTTTAAATAACCAAAACGATCATAAAATCCGAAATAAGCATCCGGTTCTCTTCATATTTCACTCATCCAATTATTTCTATTAAAACAATATATGCTGTGAAGATGGAATATATCGGTGCACTCCTTCTTGTACCTCCCCCACAAAGGGTAAAAATTTTGAATATCCATGAAGCTCATAAAACGCGAAGTTAACATCCGATTTCATTCAGACTTGGCGCATCTCAATATTTTCATAATCACCCTTATTATGGCTGGCGTAGTCGTATCGAAAATTGCAAGTTGACGCGTCGTAACGACTAATTGGTATTTTGTGAGTCGTATGCGAGAAATTACAACTCTGTATGAAATTCTGTTACAATTTTCGTACCACAAGACGCGTTCTAATTCGACAAATGCTGCAAAAGTAGTCGTTAGAGATTTTGTTGCCGACAACACACAAATTTTCCCAAATTGAGTTTACAAAAGAATAAATTATATACAAAATGGATTTGAATAAGAAGTATGTATCAACATTACAAAAATATATGTATGTAAATCTATTAACATTCCTATTTTTCTAGATTTTAAGTCACAATGAAAAAACAATTTGATGAAATGATCCAGATTTTGCAAAGGAATCCAAATTTGGCTAGAGGTTACAGCAGTGGCTTGAAAAAAATTAACATTAAGGAAGAATGGAACAAAATTGGTGAAAAACTCAATATCTTAGGACCGCCGGTTCGAACTGGCGAAGCCTGGATGAAAGTTTGGGCCGACTACAAATTTAAATTGAGGAAGAAGCTTGTTCATAACAAGGCAGAATGTCGTGCTACAGGTGGAGGGCCCTTCAAGCAGTTCATTTTAAGCGAAACGGAGGAAGCAGCATCACGCCTGTTACAATTGGAGACAATTGTAAATGCAGGGAACCAAGCAATTGGAATTCAACAGCGTCCAATACTTGGTGAACTGGAGACTGAGGAGGAACTGTTTGAAGGGTTTGAAATTGGCGAAGACAAAGAAAACCACAATCCCTGCATACTGACTCCTCCAAGCGTAAACAGATTTCACAGAAATACGCAACAGAAGCAGGTTGTTGTCATCCAAGATGTCTGTACGCTTCCCTCTGTAAGCACAAATAACCCGAATCAAAATGAACTTCAGGAAGAGGTTCCAACGACTTCTTCAAAAAGACAAAAGAAGAGTGACCACAAATATGAACTTCTTGAAGAGCAGCTGAAGGTGCAAACAGAATTATATAATGATGTTAAACGATCATTAAATGATATTGAGAGGTACCAACGCAAAAACTACAAACTGAATGAAGAGTTGTTAAAACAAAGAAAAATTAGTTATAAGTTAAAGGAAGAAAAATTAAAACTTCTTAAAGAAGAATATAAAAATAAGGCGGAATTCAGAAAGGAGTTATTGCGATGTAGGAAAGATGAAATTGAAATTGAAAAGAGACGTCTGGAATTAGAAGAAATAAGGAGTGGATTTCAGTGAAACTATTTATGTTATAACTTAAAGCATAGCTTTTATATTTAAATATTAAAATGAATTTTACTTTTTATAAAATAATTAATAATAAAATGAATTAATTACTTAAAGATAGCATTATTGATGATCTTATGTCTAATGCATTCAAATCGTCGTTCATTTCAACATCATTTGAATCTGTCATGAAGTAGGGGTTTGCACTAACTATCGGCATTTCAATTTTGAAATGTATGCAAATATTGTGTAATGCTGCACAAACTGCTGTTACTTTTCCACATATATCAGGGGTGTAATGCAATTGTCTCGCTCCTAATATACAACGAAATCTGTTCTTCAACACCCCAATTGCTCGTTCAACAATATTTCTTGTTTTTGAATGTATTTTGTTGAATCTACACTCTGGTGAGCCTTCGTCAGCTGATCTAAATGGCGTAATTAAAAATTTTTCCAATGGATATCCTGCGTCACCTAAAACAACGAACTTGATAAAAGTCATAACTAATTTTATTTAATATATGTACCTAATATCCATGTATTTCTTTCGCCATTGTCAAAGTTTTCTTTCATGTGTTGTTTCAAATCACTTGTATTCCAAACCAGCGAGTCGTGAACGGATCCATGATGGTGTGATGATATATATCTAATTCTTAATTTATGATCACACACCTACAATAATACAGAGAGTAAAGCTATTTGCATTATTTATAAGTTATGCAACATACCACCGTTACGTTGAGACTGTAGAAGCCTTTCCGGTTCAAGTATTTGAATCTCTCTTCCATTCTTGGCGCAACAATTTTTCCATCAATACATCCAATCACACCAGGAAATCCAGTATTATTCAAAAAATGTTCCTTAATTTCATATTTCTCTTCTTCTGTGGTGGGAAAAGAGATCCAATTTGGACACAGCTTATTATGCAATACTTCTATGCACTCGCGGAACACATTGCTGACAGACGACTGTGATAAACTGACATTGAAATCGTTCCCAGCACCCTTTTGATAACTTCCTTCAGCCAGTATTCGAATTGTTGCGGCTAGTTTTAGTGTATTTGGGACACTTGTAGATTTAACCCGGTTACGGAGGTCTGGAGTGATTTGACCCAAAACATATTTAAATGCATCCTTACTTAGCCTGAAGTAAATAACAAATCTAGAGAAAAATATTTATTTTAGCTTCTTCCTCATTTTACATTTTACTTACTGGGAATCAGTCATGGAAAATATGTTAGACTCTTGCCGCAATATTTTTCGCCTCACGTTTAAATCATTTTGAATATACTCATCTTCATCCTCAGATAAAAAATTGCCAACACTTAACATATTTCAATATTTAATTAAACAAATGATCGTTTTACTTCAACTATTTCAACTGACGCATTTATTTCTTTTAACCGGGTAGTTCGTAAATTCTACAATTGTTTATTATTCCAGAGCACCCTGCTTTTTTTACATCTATTACAAAAAAGACGTAGTCGAAAATTGTACATAATACCAAAAATTTTTATTTACGACAACGCCTACGACTACGTCTACGACACTTGAACGCCTACGACAACGCCAACCATAATAAGGGTGAATAATAAAGATGGTAGAGATCAGACCACTCCTTCTGGTACCTCCCACACAAAGAGTAAAAGTTTTGAATAACAAAAACGATCATAAAATCCGAAATAAGCATCCGCTTCTCTTCATATTTCACACATCCAATTATTTCTATTAAAATAAGATCTGCTGTGAAGATGGAATATATCGGTTCACTCGTTCTGGTACCTCCCCCACAGAGGGTCGAAATTTTGAATATCCATGATGCTCATAAAACGCGAAATTAATATCCGATGTCATTCAGTCTTGGCAAATCTCAATATTTCCTTTAACACAAGATCTGTTATAAAGATTGCAGCCCACCTTGGGTTCAAGATTTTGAAAAATATAATGCTCAAAGAAAGTTAAATAAGCATACAACTCTCTTCAAATTTCACACATCTTGCTAACGTAAGATCTTCTGGCACCTTACCCACAAAGGGTCACAATTTTCAATACTTTTATCTGCCATAACTTGCGAAACAAGTAGGCGATTCTTTACAACTTGCTACATCTAAATATTTCTCTTAACCTGAAATTTGATATTAATATGTGTTTTATCGAAATTTATGATTGCCTATAAAATTAGATATGAAAGTTCGATTTCCTTCTAATTTTTCACATGCCAATAGTTTTATCTGTATTAGATGAAGTAGGAAAATGAAATACTTCGATACCCTATATCTGGTAACCCAGCCACATTTTAACAATTTCTAAAAATGATCACATATTTCATATAAAGTGAAGGAAGTAGTCTATATAGTCCAAACCTGGCACGTCGCAATATTTATATCATATTTATTTAGGTCCGATACGAAATGAACAATATTGGTCCATTCCTTCAGAACCTACTCCACAGAGCGCCAACAATTTGAATAATCATAACATAAGTCAAAAGATATTTGGATAATCGAACATTGGCTAAGGATATACACCAGTCGGCAAAACCGACTACATACATACATTTGTGTTTGAAAAAAAATCTTTGTTCTTAAGGATATTTCTCATTATTGGGAAAAATCTTGAATTGTTGAGCACTGTATTTAACAGGAATATGTCCAAACAAATTTAGGAATTTTTAGCCCATCAAAAAAAACCCTGTAAACAATTTAAAAAAAAAAACATTTTCCTCACCCACATTGTCGAAAGTCAGACAAGGTGTCTATTTGAAGAAAACTTTTCTTTGTTCTCTGTCCCTGAATTTCACTTTTAAAAGGTGGGCGGGCAAGGTGTTTCAGTATTGTCTCACAAAGGTAAGAGTTGTCGTGGTTGCAGCTTTCTTATGATCTTTTAAGGTCAAAACTTGGTGATCATTGAAGAGATCAGGTGGTAGTGGTGGGTTGTATATCGATACACGGTAAGCTGACTGGCTGGCTGCCTGCCTGCTTGCCTAACTGGGGGTCTACATAAAAAAAATAAATTAAATGAATGAATGAACGTTGTGATGAACACCTACAGACTACAGATTTGACTTTGTTGTGTTTTGTCAATTGCTTTTGCTGTTGCTGTCGTTGTTAACATTTTGTTGTAGTTTGCCAGTCAGCTTGTTTTTTTTTTTGTTTTTTATTTTGTAATTCTTGTTGTTTTTGTATTGGTATTCTAGGAATTGTATCTTTTGAACTTGAATCGCTTGTGTTTTATATAATAGTAGTAGTAAGTGAGATACTCATGAAAAATTTCCATTATAGGAAATTGTTGGTTGATGGTAAGCAGCAGCGTGGGGGCAGCTTTTGTCGGCCCTTGTGTGTGTCCGTAAACAGGGCCATAACTTAGGTACTTTCTCTGTGAAAAAGTTAGGTACTTGTGTAGATTGTAGATAAGTGAGTAGTATATGAGAAATCTGTTACTTTTAGTTCGAATATTGTTGTGTTTTCTTATAAGTACGAAAGTGTTTTATTGCATGCGAGAATTTTTTTATACCCTCCACCATAGTATGGAGGGTATATTAAGATTGTCATTTCGTTTGTAACACTTTGAAATATACATTTTAGACCCCAAAAAGTATATATATTCTTGATCAGCATAAAATTCTATGTCGATTTATTAATGTCCGCCCGTCTGTCCGTCTATCCGTCTGTGGAAATCACTCTAGCTTCCGAACGAATTGAAGTAGATTGATAAAATTTTACTCAAATGTATATTATGTCTGTAGGACTTTTGGAATTGAAAATGGGCCATGTAGGTCCACGTTTTGGTATAGCCCCCTATATAGCGGTACCTCCCAATATTCGGTATTTTGATGATATTTGCGACAATATTCATCGGAATTGTTTCAAATTTGGCATTTGAAGTTTGAAATGAATACTACAGCCTATGACAGAAAATTGTCTGTGAAGGTCCACGTCTTCGTATAGCCCCCATATAACTGTACCCCCCGATATTCGGTATTTCGATGATTTTTGCAACAATATTCATCGGAATTATTTCAAATTTGGTATTTGAAGTTTGAAATGAATACTACAGCCTATTACAGAAATTTGTCTGTGCAGGTTCACGTCTTCGTATAGCCCCCATATAACTGTACCTACTGATATTCGGTATTTTGTTGATTTTAGTGACACTATTCACCGGAATTCTTTCAAATTTGGTATTTAATGTTCGTAGTGGATACTACAGCCTATGACAGAAAATTGTCTGTGCAGGTCTACGTCTTCGTATAGCCCCCATATAACGGTACCTCCCGATATTCGGTATTTTGATGATTTTAGCTACATTATTCACCGATTATTTTCTAAGTTTCGCATTTGAATATTGTAATGGCTTGTGACAAAAGTTACCTATGCAGGTCCATGTCGTCGTATTGACCCTAATATAACGGCTACATTCGGTATTTCTAAGATTTTAACAGAATTTTTAACGGATTTTATTGTTTTTGAGAATTGCCAAATTCATTCCAAATGGTGGAGGGTATTCAAAGGTCGGCCCGGCCGAACTTACAGCTTTTTTACTTGTGCGATAAAGACTTCAATATGCAATTTTTTTATTAATCTCAGTTTCCGTATAGTTATAGCGTTTCGAAATGATATAGAAAACAAGTAAAATAGTATCATTCGGTTTTGCCGACAGATGTATACACCCAGCCTTGGGTTATGATTATTCAAACTGTTGACCCTTTATTTGGATACTCAAAATTTTTACCCTTTGTAGAGGAGGTACTGGAAGGAGTGGACCGATATATCCCATCTTCACACCAGACCTTGGGTTAATAAAAATATTGTTATATGTGTAATTTGAAGAGAATCGGATGCTTATTTCGGATTCTAGTATTTTTCGGTTATTCTAAATATATACCCTCCTTAGCCATATGGCTGAGGGTATAATGAAAAAAGCGCACCTTAAACAAACATGACCTAACCAAGTACAAATATACGATTTGGTTGAAAATCTTTGATGTCATACTTGTCGTTCGAAATTAAGTTC